TACGCCACAACTTTTTTTCCATTTTTTTAAGATAAAATCCAAACTCCTTAATATAAACTGGCCAGTTGCCTTCTGTCATTATCCTACATGTACCTTACATTCAAATAGCCCTGAAGGGCTCTTGTTTCTCAAAACTCCATACCTTTTTTGTGTTTCTGTGAAGTTTTGAGATAGCTTATTTATTTATTTATTTATAAATTTTGAATCAGGGTCTCTCTAAGTTGCTGAGGCTGGTCTTGAACTTGAGATCCTCTTGCCTTAGCCTCCCAGGTCGCTGGGATTACAGGCGTGAGCCAAACATCCAGCAAGATAGCACATTTGTGTCTCCAACTCTAACAGTACCTGGGACAAAGTGGGTGCTTACTAAATAAATGAAACAATGAAAATTAGAAAGGACAAAGGTTGAAGGTAAAGATACCCACCAGAAGTCTACTATTCGAGTATAATTTAGAGGCAACTGGGAAGAGGGGGGAAAGAAAATGCTTTAGTGCAACCTTTCTTTCAAGTTTCTGAAAGGTGAAACAACTATAGTCAAGTAATAATTATGTCATATTCTTCCCTTGGAAAATATGAACTTTGATCACTGGTACAATTTCAGATGGAGATAGTTTAACTGATTTTAAATAAAAATAGCCCAGTACATGCAACTGTCAAAATCCTCTGATAAAACCAGACCCCTTGGTATGAATCCCAAGGTTCAAGAGTGCAGCTAGGAAGGGACTTTTATTCTGCAAACATTTTTTTTTTCTTTTTAGTACCAGGGATTGAACTCAGGGGTACTCAACTGCTGAGCCACATCCCTAACCCTATTTTGTATTTTATTTATGGAGACAGGGTCTCAGAGCTCTTTAGTGCCTCGCTGTTGCTGAGGCTGGCTTTGAACTCACCATCCTTCTTCCTCAGCTTCCCGAGCCACTGGGATTACAGGCTTGTGCCACTGTGCCCGACCTCTACATACATTAATGGGTCATTAATTGTAACTCTGAGCCCATGTTAATTCCTCCAAAGTATTGGTTTCCGATGAGAAATCTTTGGGGGAGGGGAAAAAGTAGCAAACATCTGGAGGTCCCTTTGAAGCCAGAAATAATTTGTGAATTTGCAGAAATGGGCAAAATTTGGGATTCCATTTTAAAAGTTTAGTTCTGTTATTTGGAAAAAAATTTAAAAGATGTGTATTTTTATTAGGTTGGCAACAATCAAGGTTAAAAAATGTTTTCAGGAAGGGAGTGGAGAAAAAGGGACTCTTATACATTGCTAGTGAGTGTATGAATCAGTAAAACCTTTTGGGGACAACTTGGTAATATCTATCAGGATTACAAATGTACACATCTTCTGACTCAACATTCCACTTCTAGAAATGTATATTACAGATATATTTGCAGATTTTCAAAATGATATATGTTCAAGGTTGTACTCAGCAGCATTGTTTGAAATTCAATAGATTAGAAACAACTTTAGTGGTCACCAATAGAGAAATGGTTAAATTAAGCTACATGTATTTGAAACAGCCCTAAGAATAGAGAAACTGTCTACAGTTAAATGATTTCCAAGTTATATTAAATGAAATAATTGAGATACAGGAAGTGGGTTTAATATGCTTCCATACAGAAAAACTTCTCTGTGTACTTGTTTGAGTAGGCATAGATTATCTCTGGAAGAATATACAACTGGCCTGGGACTGTAGCTCAGTGGCAGAGTGCTTGCCTTACACATGTGAGGCACTGAGTTTGATCCTCAGCACCACATAAAAATAAAGATGGCATGCTGTCCATCTACAACTACAAAAAATTAAAAATAAAAAGAATATACAACTGATAACATTTTCCCCTACAAAGGGTAAGATATATAAGGGTTGGGGAGGTTGTTCAGAATTAGTGGAATGAGATTTTTAAATTAATTTAAAACTTTAATCATTTGAATGTATTAGGTATTCAAGAAAAATGAATTAAAATTTAAAACTAAAAAATAAATACAGCCTATGTAATTTTTTAAATTTATTTTTTAGTTGTAGATGGACACAATACCTTCATTTTATTGATTTATTTTTATATGGCGCTGAGGTTCAAACCCATTGCCCCACATATGCAAAGTAAGCACTCTACCACTGAGCTACAAACCCAGCCCCAGCCCATGTAATTTAAGGTAATTTATGAGTAAGTATAGACTCCTCCCCACTGTCCCCCTGTCCCCCAGCCCCCTCCCCCTTTTTTTTTTTTTTTTTTTGGTGCTGGGGAAGGAACCCAGGGCCTCACTCATGCTGGGCTACACCTCCAGCCCCAAGAATGACTTTTCATGATCAGTAGTTTGATTAGTGCATATCGGTGTCAGACCTCAATGAGTTTTGGTCCTAATTACCTGTGCAATTTTTCCACTTGTAAAATCAGAATTATCTCATAGGATTGGTGAAAATTGAATGCATGTAAAATACTGAGGCTCACATTCTCTGTGATGGAACTTTGTGTCACCTGTACTGGGTGTGGATTTTCATCTGGATGCTGAAGGTGAAATGGGTGGGCCTGATGGAAACCTTCAAATGTTTCAATAAATTCACTTTTCTCTCTTTTCAAAAACGAACAAACAAACAAAAAAAACCCCTGAGGCTCACAGAAAGCACTCAATAAGTGTTAGTTGCTATTGTTATTTCTGCCCTAAAAACTCCAACAATAAACAAAAAATTTTTTTCTGGCTCCTTTTGGACTAGTCTAGAGGCAAAGATACAAACTAGATGATTTCTCAAGGAGTTTTTCCTGCCCAGAGGCTTGAGTCTTCACAATCTTCAAAGACATTCTTGCTGCTGCTGCCACCCAACCTGCAGACCTCCCACCTGTGCTAAATGAAGTGCGCTTGAAGTGAGGAGGTTACTCAGAACGTTTATGTTTTCTCAAGGGAGGAGGGCGGGAAGAAATCCTGTTGACACAGTTATATAAAAGCCTGTCACTCAGTCCCCTGCCTACTACCTCTGCAGACCGTTATGCATATTAAAGAAGGGGGGGGGGCGGCAAATACAAAAGAAAAATAAGCGAGACAGAGTGGAAGAAGGAACAAATCAGGATGCTTGAGGGACTCCACGTGGTCGCCAATCTGTAACTGATCAGTGCAGCTACACTGAAGCAAAACCCCCAGAGCCCAACGTTAAATATATTGTAATGGAGAAATCGTCCACAATGGGGTGTCTACGTCCTTAGCAGTCTTGGAGCTACCGTTTAATACTCTCCCACTTCTCTCACCCGTTTTTGCACCTAGTAAACCACACGATGTAACAACGGAATCTGGTTATGTGCGTGCGTTGTGTGAGTGTGCGCTTTGCAAACCATCTGGGTCCCATCCTGCCCAGTTGGAACGATGATCGATCCGGGACGAGTTCGGGGAGTTGGGGTTTGCTTGTGTCTTCTCCCTTTATCTACTCCCTTCCATCTCCCACTCCATCAATCGCTCGGCACAAACGTTGGAAGGACGTAGGTTTTCAGCACCAGGAGGCCGTGGACCTTCTCTGGAGGCGTGTAGTGCACCCTCCAGAGGGCCAGAGCTGATTGCAACCTGCTCACCACGACCCTCCCCCTCCTTCCCAAATTTGCCGCCCCAGGCTGTAATATTACAAGCAGTGCGCAGTCCCGGTGCGGGAGTCCAGAAAGGCTGCGTGACCTTCCAGCGAACTCCACCTCAACTGCGGGGGATGGAGGCTGCCCCGGGGCCTGCTGGCTGGGTATCGATCCCCCAGCTTCAACCAACGCAAGTTCTCCCGGCACAAACCCCTCCCTCCCTTCGCGGCTTTCCCAGCCTTGCAGGATTCTAACGCCTTGCTAGAGGCGCCCTCCGCAATAAAGTAAATCCGGTGGATATTCATCCCCCGCCCTATCCCTCCTCCTTTCTTCCCCCTCCCCCCTCACCAAGCTAACCCCGCGCACAGAGCTCGCCGCTGGCGGGCCCCTTCCACCCGAGGATCATAATGCCCAACGCTCTTTTCTCCCCCTCTCTTAATCAGAAACGTGTTCGCGAGCCCCCCTCCCTCTGTGTGCATACATTAGGGTCTGCTTTGCATGCAGCGGCAGGCTGGGACCGGAGGAAGAAGGGGCGGGGGCGCTTTTGCCCGCCTCTTCCCTCCAGGCCCCGTTAGCCACCCAGCTTCAGCTTCGCTGTAACACCGCCTCGTTAGCGGAGCATGCCGTGGCCCCAATGCCTGGACTGGAGAAACATAACCCAACTCCGCAGAAGGGCACGAAAGCCAGAAGCTCCTCTGCCCCGTGTGCACAGTAGGGCCAGGAGGTGGCGGGAGACCTGCCACTTGGTGTGTGCATTTTAGAGAGAGTTCCAGCATGAAGATGGGAGGGGCTCCTTTTTTAAGGCGCGTTTACTGAGGGCCTATTTTGCATATAGTAAACTGGGCAACGCTTCTGTTTTGCATGTAGTACAATAAGAGCTCTTATTCCAGTGGCGTTCGATTCGGGCTAATCCTGCTCGTATCCGTGCCCTGAGGCGGAGGAGAAGGTTTGCTCCTCCCGGACCCAGCACCCGCGCTATACTGGAAGCTGCTCTCCTGGGCGGTTCGATTCCCAGCGCGTCCCGGGAACGTGTGTAATCTGCCTCTCGGCTCCCGAGCTTGCAGGCGGCTGGGATCCCTCCGCCTCCATCCTCCCTGTAGCCCTAGCCCCCTCCCCCTCTCCCCGGAACCCGCGCGCCGCTCCGGGCTCCTGGGCTTCCTTCCCCCCTCCTTTTCCCTAGCAATGCCGCTCCCGGAGGGCGGGGCATACAGTTATCCAGGTTGCGGGGCGGGCGGGCGGGCTGGAGGAGGCCACCCTGGCCTCGGCATGGAGTAGCAGCCGCCCGGCGTCAGATGCGGAGGCCCGAGACCTGTATACAGATTGCGGGGCGGTCAGGCGCGGCCCGGCGGTCTGCATAGCGGCAGGCCGGGTGTGCGCAGCCAGGCGGCGCCGAGCGGGTTAGGCAGGTTCCGGGGCCCTCAGCACCCCCCCTCGCCTCCCCGCCCCCCTGTGTTGTCGCCTCTCCCTCTCCTGCTTCACTTCACGGGGCGAACATGGCGCACAGCTGTCGGTGGCGCTTCCCCGCCCGACCCGGGACCACCGGGGGCGGCGGCGGCGGGGGGCGCCGGGGCCTAGGGGGCGCCCCGCGGCAACGCGTCCCGGCCCTGCTGCTTCCCCCCGGGCCCCCGGCCGGCGGTGGCGGCCCCGGGGCGCCCCCCTCCCCCCCGGCTGTGGCGGCCGCGGCGGCGGCGGCGGCGGCGGGAAGCAGCGGGGCTGGGGTTCCAGGGGGAGCGGCCGCCGCCTCAGCAGCTTCTTCGTCGTCCGCCTCGTCTTCGTCTTCGTCATCGTCCTCAGCCTCCTCTGGGCCAGCCCTGCTGCGGGTGGGCCCGGGCTTCGACGCGGCGCTGCAGGTCTCGGCCGCCATCGGCACCAACCTGCGCCGGTTCCGGGCAGTGTTTGGGGAGAGCGGCGGGGGAGGCGGCAGCGGAGAGGTAAGGGGGCGAGGAACCCCCAGGTCCGGGGTCCCGACCCTCTGAGGAGCCCCTTCCCCTCCCCCATCCTTGTTTGAGGAGCATCCCAATTCTGGAACCATCCTGAGGTCCCTGACCCGGGGCAAAGAGCCCTCCCATGTTGGGATCCCCATACAGGGCTGCAGACCCCAGACGCCCCCACCCCGGGGTTTGGACCCTTCTGGCCAAGGCGTTTGCCCCTCGCCTCCTCCCCCGGACCCTTCCCCAAATCCCTTGGCACAGACCCCCTCGCCGGGGTTTCCCATCCCGGGCCTGAACCCCTCCTCCCTTTCACAGATTACCTCATCCGAGCAAGATTCCTCCCTCCCTTCTAGAGACCTGATCCCGCCACATCCCCGCCTCCCTCTCTGGGCAGATGTGTTACTCCTAGGGCAGTTTTTCCTCTCGGGCATCTCTGGGATGGTATCCTCGTCCAGGGCCCCGTTCTTCTAGCCCCTGGGGATTGGTGTCCCTTCCCAACACCTTGCTTCCAAAAACCTGACGAGCCCCCGCCTAATCCCCGCCAGGTCCTTACCTTGCCGGCCACTCCCCCTTCCTTCACCTCCACCCCCACCCCACCCCCAGCAGACAGATCCTCCCGCGTCCCGCCCTACCCCACGGGGAAATCTCCTTTCCTCTCCACCTTGCCAGCCCTCACCTCCTTCCCTTCGAAGATAACATAACGGTGCTCTCCTCCTGCAGTGGTCTCTTCCCCCATCTTCCAGAGCCACCGTTTCTAGTCTACTGGTAGCAGGGAATTAATTACTCTACCTAACACTCCACCCAGTCCCTCCTTCAGAATGAAGGATCAGTGGCATCTTTGAGGGGAAATAGTCCAGCGTCCCCTAGCCTTTGAGAAGAGCAGCTTTCCAGCACTCTTTTGGAGAGGAACAGGCTTTCCCTCCAGCTCTGGGGAAGGTGGCCCTGTGATGGGAGGTGTTTGTAGGGGTACTTGGGCAGCATCCTCCCATGGGAAGCAGCTGCTCTCCTACCCCACCCACTGCGCCTGAGAGCACGCAGTCTCCAGCCCTAGCTCCCTCCCACCCTTCTTTTTCTCGACATTTCAGTATTGATCTACCTTTTCCTAGGCCAATCCTGGGGCTTGCAAGGGATGGGGGAAGCCGGGTTGGGGTGAGGAGAGTAGGTAAGGGACAGTTTTACTTTGCTCGTGTTTGCTTTGGTTTGGGAGAAAGAGGAGAATTATGAAGCAAAGTTATTCCTTAGAGGGAGGCGTTAGGTTTATCTCTGATTCTTATAAGAGAACCCAGTTTGAATGAAGGGCCAGACTTTGCCCCTTCCCCATTAGTAAAGGGGTAGAATGGGGATGCTTTTGACAGTCATTATGCAGCCTTCTTTAGTAAAATGGAAAGTTGCCCTGGGAAGGGAAGTTGAGTTCAGGTTCAGCCAGTGGCGTTGCGCATTTGTTTTCCATTGGATGCAGAAGGGGGAGTTTGAAACACGGGGAGGGGGGGGATAACGGGATGGGGGATGCTAGGAGGAGGAAGAGCAGCTGCTAGGGGCTGAGGAGAAGGGGGGTAGGGGGTTACTGCTCTGGAGTGCTCTTGATTGAAACAGAAAGGGAAAGATAACAACCAGCCGTTTCCTGCGTGCTCTGCCGTTGGTGCACACAAAATATCCTGGGCAAACCCCTTTTTGCCTTTTGTGCCCCACACCCCTTTAGATTTACCAAAAGATCCTGGGAAGATGGGGAGGGAGGAGATCCCAGGGACCCCAGCCCCTTCTCTCAAGGAGCTGACATTTTTTAGTGCCTCCTTTTTAAAAATGTTTCTAAGGCAGCCTGATCAGGAGACTGACAACAACCGCCTTCTGACAGCAAGGAGGACATGATGGGGGCGTGTTCCTTGCTATGTAGCTAGCAGCAGCGTCCCCTCTCCCTGCCTCTCTCTGCTCTATCTCCACCTCCTTTTCCCAGCCTTCAGAAGGCAGCTGCAATCAGCAGGGTTGTTTGAGACTATTTATTGGTTGCTGTAGATTATTATTTTTTTTGAAAGGCCAATTCTGTATTTTTTAAGCTAACAACACAGATCCCATGTAGTTGGAGAACCAAAGGCCTCATACATGACAAAAAGACTGAACCGTTCAGGTTACTTGCATGGAGTTGGTGCTTAAATGTGAGTTGATTTTGTTTTTTTAAAAGATACAGCAGCAAAAAAATAAAAATAAAAAAATTAATTTACCTGCTTATTTTAGAAACTGAGACTTGCCTGGTTATATATAGAATTTTAGCCCCATGTATATTTGAGTATAATAAGAAAGTCTGTCTTAGAGAAGTTAGTCTGTTTTAAGGGATCCTAAGAAGCATTTTCTTCTTGTTTAACATGCTTATATACTTTGTAATGAAGGACCAAATTTCACCTTCCAAATGTTATCACATATTCTAAAGCAAAGTTTTATGCTGACAACTTCCAATCACAGCTTTTCAAGAGACTGGTTAGAAAGAGAGAGACCTGGATTCAGGGACCTAATGTCTGGGCACCAGAATATTTTATCTGTTGGTCATTGAAAAATCACCTTAAAAGTTTTAATCAGGTGCTATATATTATCTTATTTACTGGTGTTATGAAGTGATTGCCAATTGGTGTTTTATTTTGATTCACATTAGTGTATAATGTAAAGCTTGTCAAGAGTTGCAGTTAATTTAAATAAGATGATACTAATAAGGGTTTTTTTTTTAAACTGTTGCCTGAACAGTACTTGCTACTTAACTATGAGAAGAGTAGTTGACTCCTTACATTAAAATTCAGAATTTTTTCTGATTAGGCTTGAATGAGCTCTTGGTAATCTTTTTATGTGGTAGTTTGAAGCAATCTGGTATAGGTTGATGTGTTGTTAGTGCTAAACCAGAGTGACTATCTCCTTTGATCTGGTAGTTTTCAATGTAAGAACTAAGCATTAGTCTTATATAATCTTGCAAATCAATGATAAAGTTCCAAAAGGGCTCACCTGGGTTGATATAGAATTCTAAAGATTGCTTCTCAGAACTTGCTCACAGCTCCATATCAAGTCTTGTCTAGATTCATGAAGAAGAAATGGTTCTATAACCCCAAATGATCCTGACCTCTTTAAATAGTAAATTGTGGTTTCTTTAATTGAATAATGACTAGAAGTTGCCCATAACAAAACCTTTAAGTTAATACCAATAAAAGTAGGTGACAGAACTTCCATATCACTTCCCTGTTGGGACTCTGTTACCAGAGGAGACTTATCTTTTACTATCATTGATTCCTAACTTTGCTCCTATTGAATAACTCTCTGGTAACAACTGTATTTAAGAATTCCTCATGGGCTGGGGTTGTGGCTCAGTGGTAGAGCACTTGCCTAGCTCGTGTGAGGCACTAGGTTCGATTCTCAGCACTGCATATAAATAAATGAAAAAAATAAAAGTCTATCAACAACTAAATATATATATAATATATATATATATATATATATATATATATATATATATAAAATTTTAAAAAAATTCCTCATGACCAAATTCTGTTAAAACAGGATTTTTTTTTTTTTTTTGTACCATGGATTGAATTTTTGGGTGCTTAATCACTGAGCCACATCCCCAGTCCTTTTTTTGTATTTTATTTAGAGAAAGAGTCTCATTGAGTTGCTTAGGGCCTCATTAAGTTGCTGAGGCTGGCTTTGAACTAGCAATCCTGCAGCTTCCGAGCTGCTGGGATTACAGGCTTGTGCCACTATTCTTGGCTGGAAGGGATTGTTTTTAAAAGTACATAGGTGTTGCTGATCTCCTATGTGGGCTTTCTGTATAATAGGAGTAGAATTTATTTTATTGTGAACTTTAAGAAATCAGAGGTTCATTTTTAGCCCTTTCTCTCCCTTTCTCTGTCACTGGGTAGTTAGAAGACCTTGGACAATTTATTTTTCTTTTTGTACCAATGATTGAATTCAAGGGCCTTTTACTATTGAACTATATCCCAGCCCTTTTTATTTTTTATTGTGAGACAGCTCTCATTAAATTGCTCAGAGCCTCGCTAAGTTGCTGAGGCTCCTCACTAAGTTGCTGAGGCTCCTCAAGCTTGTGATCCTCCTGTCTCAGCCTCCCAAGCCACCGTGATTAAAGGCATGCACCACTGTGCCCATTGACATGTCATTGTGTTGATGAAACAAAAAGAATATGTATATATGTATGTTAGTTGTAGATAGATACAATACCTCTATTTTATTTACTTTTATGTGGTGCTGAGGATAAAATCCAGTGCTTTATATGTGCTACCACTGAGCTACAACTCCAGACCAACAATTCATTTTTAATCTTAAATTTCTGATACGTAAAACGAAAACTTTGCACAAAATAGCTCATGAATCCTTTTTTTTTCCGTTATCTTGACTTATATTAAATTTTTGATCAGGTCAGAATTTCTTCTTTTGTGTGTATTTCAAGAACGAGAATCAGTGCTCTTGTTTGATGATTTGTTTTTGTTTTTGCTTTTGGTTTTGATACCAGGGATTGAACCCAGGGATGTTTAACCACTGAGCCACATCCCCAGCCCTTTTTATTTTTAATTCTAAATTGCTTAGGGCCTTAGTCTCCCAAACTGCTGGGATTACAGGCATGAGCCACTGTGATTTTTAATATCAGTTTGTACATTTGCCCACTTAACTGGCATCATTATTAGGAGAAATTCCAAGTTGGTGGGAAGTTTTGATTTTGTGGAAAAAATATAACTGAAGTTAGCCAATTTCATTTATAAGAAACACGTAAGGGTTGGGGATGTAGCTCAGTGGTAGAGCGGTGGCCTAGCATTGTGAGGCCCTGGGTTTGATCTCTAGCACCACATAAGACAAACAAAACCAATAAAGAAAAATGAAGAAAAAGTGTTTAAGAAGTGGGGTCTCACTATATTGCCTAAGCTGGCCTTGAACTCTTAGCTCAAACAATCCTCCTGCCTCAGCTAGGACTACAGACGTACACAACTGCCTGGCTTGAAGATAGTTTTAAACAAAGTTCTGAGAACCTGTAGGAATTCCAGACATTATCTGGTGTGTAGAGAAGCCCTCTTCTTTGGCTAAATTTCTTGTTTGGCTCTTGTTTTCATTGTTGTACATTATTTTCAGTCTAAGTAGTATATTCCTTAAGCTTTTAAATGAAAAGTTCAGTAGATCAGTGTATTTATTAGTCCAAATCCCTACTTTATGTTCAAAATGAACTTCTTTGTTTTTTACTGAGCATTAGAAATTCAGTCTTTTTCAGTCATCTCTCACTAAAAACCTTATGAAATGTCCGTAACTTTATCTTCCATTGAATTATATTAAAGCACATGGTCCTTGCTGAAATCATTCACAAAATAGTGATTTACCTTCTGATTGGAAGCTAAGAAAAAATATTCTCATTTTGACTTAATTCTCATCTATTTGCTCACCTTGAAGCTGTCCTTCCAGAGAACAACTGCAGATTCTATATCTGTTGCCTCCCTTGCCTTGTGGCTAGAGGGGGTGGCAATCATGCCTTTTTCGCTCAGAGGCATAACAGACTGCAGTGCTTCTCTTTTGGAGACTTGATGTGTTTTAATTGTAGGTCTCCTAATTAAGATCTCTTTGAGCCGGCCCACATTCCACTAATGTTGGCACAGCTTCCTTCTAGCACTTAACTGAAGGCCTTCAATTGAACCTTTTGTGAATATCTTGTCTCTTCATTCTTCTTCTGCCAAGGTGGAGCCCAGTGCCTTGGACCTTTGAGAAAGGGGGAAGCTTTGTGACCATTACTACTTTGGGAGGAACTTATTTAAGGATTGCTGGGGTGGGACCTTCCTTTGTTTGCATGTTATTTTCAGGGATTAAGAAAGGTTAAATTACTAATGAGTCTGGCATGATACACCTATTTTAATCAGATTCTTAACCCTGTAGGCACTAGTAGAAAAGAAGATGCTCATGTGTTCACTGATATAAAGCACTTGTTTGGATCTCATCTAGACTGGTTTATGAAGCTTAATGAATGAAATCTTGTCATGGAGTAAATCACAGACTTGTGATATTTGTGTACCAGCAGGTTGTGAAGACAATCAAATGAAATTATTGGTTGCTCCTAAATTATGTCAGATTTTTTGAAACAGACTGAAAGTTAGCTTTGAGATTCAAATTAACTTTTTAGATTAGAATGGACTTTAGGAGGCTCTAGAAATTGTTGAACTAATTAAAGAATATTCTTGTAGTGCTAATATTGCTTGAGAAGTGAGAAATTGGCTGACTTCTAGAATAGTTTCAGAATAAGTCTTTTTTCCCCCACTGGAAAAAGTAATTTGACTTTAGTTCTATAAGTGCTCAAAATATGGTCCCTTCATATATCTGTATGTGGCATGCTAGAGGAAACAGGGAGTCTTTTATTAAGAAAAGGATTCTTAAGTCCTTCACCTGGGCCCAGATGGTTTCATTGATCACATCAGTATGAGGTAGGCAGACAAAGGACTATTTTTTTTTGTTGTTGTTATTGTCATTTCATTGGTCATGAAGAAGACCTGAAAGAAGGAAGTACAGGATCATTTATGGCATGCATTAAATAAAGCTGGAGGCCTGCACTCTTATACCTGAGTGGGTGGTTTTATGGCTTTATTCTCTAATTGCTGGCATTTATGACTGTGTGGATGCTACTGGCCCTGTGGCTGAGGTAGATTATGCTGGGAATAGGGAGGGAGAAGGGGTCCTTTTGTCAGCCTTTTCATTTCCCCCTTCAACAAGGTCTCTGAGAAAGCCCTGAGGAAATGCACAGACACTTGGACTGAGAGAATGACTTCCCATAAAATGGTTCTTTATATTTTTAAAAAGGATGATCTGCTTTTCTTGACCTATCCAAAGAAATCCATACCACCACTGTTAAATATTTCAGTGAGCTTTTTACCTTGTCAGGTTACACAACAGGGGAAGCCAACCATGAGGCTAGAGCCACTGTGGAACATTTGCTTTTATAGACTAAGGTATTTGAAAGGAGAATTTTGTTGTATGATTTGTAGTAGTTGTAGGTGATGAAAGTCTCCTTGTAGGGTTAGTACAAAACTTCTTAAGAAGCCAAGTTTGGCTTAACTTTTTTAGATGTTGCATATATCTCCTTGGTGAATTTTAGTTTTAAGGAAACAGTTAACAAAGATGTAAATATAAGAGTTAG